CTCTAAGATTTCAAAACATTCGAAATTGCACCATGTATACAAGGATAAAATGTATGCTATAATAATATGTAAATTGTTTTCTAGTCAGCCAATTATGAGACATGAATAAACACTTGTGAGAGCGGTTGCTAAATAAATCAAAATACAAGGGGTTAATGATCATTTGAATCGCGCTTGCGAAACGATCCATTGTTCTGCGACGTTTCGGACGTTGTCGATTGCCGACGCTGCTTCCGGAGCGCGTGTCTAATTAGCAGGGACTCGATTAATGTCGTGTACATTGGAAATTCACGCATTTGCACGGCGAACGGTTTCACTTGACGTTTAGTGGACATTTCTGCGTGCGGTGGATTCGGTTGCGGTTACGTGTTATGATACCGGCTGTACGATCCTTTGTTGCAACGTTGGGATTCCATTGCATGCGATGTTAATAACTGTAATAATTATAGTAATGAGGAACAGAATTCGTGTTTTCGCCTCTGTAATGTTAATATTCCGTATTCACTGTGATACTATGCCAAAAAAAGAAATTCTCTTGAATATGATAAAACATTTGTCCTATGAATTTTTGCATCATTAATATTCACATCGTTTATATTTATTTAATTTTCTGGTTTTCTAATTTCTAATTTCGGTTAAAATGGAATATTAAATTTGAATGTCGCAGTTCGAAAAATTTATATAAAATTTTCTGCATATTCGAATGGAAGATTTGCCGAATAGTTTTTGCAGGAATGTTAGAGAAATCTTGTATTTATTCCATCAGATTGCCGACATTTATACAATTAGAAACGTGCTGTAGCATTTCTGTACCTGTTTCTGCAATTCGATTCGCGGCCAGCTGCTTCCCGGGGGATAACGAGGCGCTCAGTGGAAACGGCGGGATTATTTGATTCACGGGCCCGATAACGGATCAAAATAGTAAAAATTTCGTTTCATGGTGAATGTCGGAGAAGGGGGCAACCTAATTACCATGTTCGCTACGTAACGCTTATTACTCAAGATACGGGGCACGCAGGCAAAATTGAGCACGAAAACGTTAATCTCATGAGTGTGAGGCTGGTTTCTAAACAGGTTTAGATATATGTTATTTGTAATATGGAAATGAATTGCGAATATTCGTAAGATTCGAATCAGTGAAATATTTAAACTTTAAGTTTCAAATTTCAAATTTCAAATTCCAAATCTCGAATTCTTAGTTTCAAGTTTAACATTTCAAACATTCCACTTGATTCAGTCAAATAAACATGACCGAAGCTATGCTTAAATAATTCATAAATCCAAGATCCACAGTCCAACGATAACGTAAATTCTATTTCTATTTTTCTTCGTGGTCAAAGTAAGACATTTTCCAGTAATGTAACTCATGCATCCAGCCAAGACTGAAAGTATGAATGATTTACTGCAAACAGCTGTATGATGCTCGCCTCGGTTCGAGCCGTGCCTATTCTCCGGAGTCGAGTAAAACACAAGATGGCGGTACCCTGGGAAGACAAAGGCTAAATGGTTAAAGCGGAGTTTACCCTGAATTCGTCGAAGCGACCTAGCCCTGTCCCGATGGTAGCCGTTGTCACGTGCTGTCGACCGGAGAAATGTGGCCGCTTGTCGATTCGCCGAGTGAAACGGTTGACATTTGGCCGACACGTGTTTCACACGTTTTAATGGCGGCCCTTGTGCTTCCGGCGCTTTATGCCCCCTTTATTGATATCCGTCGACATCCCCCGCAAAATTGAATTATTGCGATGCTCACCGTTTTTAACGGGACACCTGGATAAAATAGATTCAAGCAGCGAAAAGGTTAATCTTCTAACTGTGGTAAAATAGCCATAAAGCTATGTCTCTACGAGGCTTACGTAGTCTACGCGCTATAAATGTATCATTACGATTTGAAACCGATAAAGGTTTCCATTGTGCAATTACATTAGACAACAATGTACTTTACCGATGATAGAGAAAGGAGCGAGCCATTATAGTAGATACCATTCAAACGGATAATATCCACGAAAGTCACTACAGTGGAGTATAGTAGCTAAAAGGTCAAACACGCTTAATATTTACTCTACAATAATCCCAGATAATCTATACGAAGTACTCCAACCTCAAAAGCAAATTTTAAAAGCGCTTTTAGATAAAAGTAGTCAAAGAATTGAACAACAACATCCACAGCATTAATTTTATTTTCTTCATATAAAGTATAAGATTGAGTCCGTCAAGAGCAAGTGACGTTGGAAGTGAACGTGTTAAGCGAGACAATTCAGCGAGCTTTCATCGTTTGAAAAGCTCCGCTGTTAGACAATAGCTTTAAACAGCTGTGGGCAGAGGTACCGATAATCAGTGCCGTCTTCGGCGGAAGCGAGTCGAATGTGTAATGAGCGCCGCGCATTCAGTCACGTTTTTCGCGTCTTCCCTCTCCCTGCGCCCCGTAATCCCAGCGGGGAATTTGAATTTCTAATGACGTACGAGCTCCGGGTAGGATTATCCATTCGCCGCGGCTTCCCGGCTCCTGGTGAATGTGTACCCTCCACTCGCGTCGAATTAAACCGAGTGGCTAAATATTTGCCGAGTGGGACACCCGTTGCACCGGTGGAACGATTTCCAACGCACGACGGGAAAATTCTTTGCCACAGCCCTTCATTGCTCCACATATCGTATGTTGCACGAAAATTGACACTTTGCGCTCATTTTTCAATTTTCATCTTTACTCATCTCATTTTCGATACTAATTTGCTAGTTGTCAATACCATTACACGTAGCCGGTCAAAACTATAAACAAAGCATATAGCGAACAACCCGTTTTGCCCTTCTACCGCCCTGAATGCCAACTCTGGTGCAACGAACGGTACACGATGGATACCGTTTACGTCTGTATTTATATATGTGTTGCACGCTAATTGGAACTTACTTTATGTAAATTAAATACAGAATTTGTTGAATGTAAATAGAGTGAATTCGTGTTGGTTAGCACTAGAACTACTACACAGATCAAAATGACCCATTTCTGATTTCTTCTTTTTCAAATAATTGAAAAAATAACAGGCGATTCTCTGAAAAATAATGAAAGAAATTGATGAATTGTGATTCAATAGAAATCTCAATAGATGCACTATTGTAGCACTTGTAAGCACTCTTTATAAAAAAAATTTCGAAGTGTTACTTTGAGTATATGATAGTTGAAAATTGACAAGAATACAAAGTTTTTCGAGAGAAATTGAAAGTTTGCCAAGAATCCTTAAAATCCATAAGAGGAAGTTGAAGGTTTTCAAGCTAATGGTCTTGATAGATCCTTAAGACACATAAAAGTCGAAGGTTCTCAAATACCCCTAAGGTAGTGCTAGGTCTCCAAAGGATCATTAAGGAAGTCAGTGTATTTCTAAGAATTTCAAAAATCTCTGTAACAGCTCGAAGATTTCCAAGAGTTCACGGGGAATCTCAAAATTCCGCAATGTTCCCAATGAAGTCTAAGAAATCCTACATACTGGGTGTTCAAAACATTCAACTACAGCGTAGATTTTACCTGCAAGATTACGAATTGAACGTCAAGGTAAAAGTTACCTTCAATTTACATTTAAATGCGAATTGTAAAGAGACCGGCAGTATGCGGGAACGATAAAACGAGTTGGTAACACTTTGGAGAATCGATTGTAATTTCTGAGAGTCCGATGTTCGAGAATTCAGCAGAAAAGTCGGGGAGAATATTTTTTCTGGCGAATGTGCGGGCAAGAACGAATTTTATTTCGGCGCAAAAAGATAAAGCTCGTTCCTGCGGATCGTCCCGCTGGCCCTGTTTGAAAGCCGGCTCGTGAAATTCAGTTTTCCGCACACGTTCCGACTGGATCCTCCTTTTTCCCCGCGTCTGTATTTTCCACAGGAATAAATTCTGCCCTTCCGGGAGTAAGTTCATATTTCCGTGGTGTTTTTCTGTCGTATAAAATTTGAACATTGCACAACGCAATTCACATGAAATGGGAAACAATCAGGCATGAAAATGGCAGACAAATTTTTGGGCAAATTTCAAATGGATTACCGGTCTACATTTTTTACGCGGGGGCACGAACGTTTTATCAATCCGGGAACAATCGACTCTCGGATATCGAGTTGATTCTGCTTCGAATTTTTTTAATGCTTCACAAATTTTCGTTGTTCTATTATTTTTCGACGTTCTTCGCATTTTTGGTATACCAGGAATTTTCATTTCTGCAATTCATGCGTTTAAAGGGTGCACTATGCAATTGAAATTTGTAACAATATGTAACATACAATTGTAAGCACTTAATGCGTGGAAATTGTTGAAACTGATAGAATTATTTTTATTTTTAACGTTCCAATGACCACAAATTTGACAATCGTATTCCGTCATCTTCAAAACTTGAGGTAATCATTTTAATAACCGGAATCGATTAAATTAATAATCGATTTCTATATGAATTTCATATTATTCATTTTATTGGCAAAAATATTTCCAGTATAATAATTCTATCTTTAACTGTATGTGTAATCATATTTACATTGGATATCAGTATAGCCGTCGCACAAAATAAAAACTTTAAATATAAGGAAATATTATCACTGAATTCAAAGCTAACCATCGTTATCGAGATTACATGTACACAACTGTCAAAACATCGGAGAAAGTCGCACGTTAGTATATTTTTCCGCCGATGACCGTTACGAAATTCAAACGATAACCGAAGGTCACGTGGTCTTGAACCAGAAGAGCTCGATCGGTAACGTCGTCAAGATAGCATTCGAGGTCACGTGGCCGCAAGTGAAAGCCACAAGTCCCTGGAATCTGCCGCAATCAAGACGCAGTATGCGTCGGCATTAATTCTAACCAGTGTTTCGGACGACGCGACTCACGATTTCAAGAGAATATTGTTTTATCTCCTTCCGTTAAAACCGGTTCAAACGAAGCTGTTAACGATCGTCGATCCGTCAAGTCGCTTTCGAGTTTCAATCTCTTCGATCGGTTCATTATTAAAGGATCAACTGGATGATCGGTATCTCTGAGTGTGATTAAAACCATTTTCCAAAGACAGGTAATTTCAATGGCGTACTATACGATTGCTGCAAAAGTTTCAAGAATTCGAAATTCCGTTATTTATATCATTTTCCTACGGCTTCACAGTTTGAAGATATCAAAGTGCTGACACAACGCAGTAGAAAGTGAATCAATGTCGAAGTAGAATGTTTTGAAAAACAATAAAACCATTGGTTCAAACTTACTTGTAACTTTCCATTCTCGTAATTCATGTGTGTAAATGCTGTACTGTGCGATTGAAATTTGTAACAATATGTAGCTTAAAATTGTAAGCACTTAATGCGAGAAATTAATTTTATTTTTATTAACGAAATTATTCAAATTGATAAAATTATTTTTATTTTTGAAACTTCCTCGAAACTTTTGCAGCCTCTCACGTACAGTAGAACTCCCTACAAGTGCGATTAAAATATTCCACGTTACAGGGTTTCACATTTATGAATTTCGCGTGAATATCCGCTTTTGGATACTGATTTAACTTATACTAAGATAGTCCTTTGTTTGGATCGGTTTCTTATAGAAAACCTCACTTTCACAGTTATTTTTCGACAATTTTTTAATTGCCTCATAAGGTGTTTTATTGTAATGCAATGACGCTCGTTAATCGAGTAACATCGCGCGTGAAATTCTGGTGCGGTATTATTTGAATCCCTCCTGTGACGCTATTATCGAATTTCTTTGTGAAAATGTTAATTAATTAGCTCGTCTGTTCCGCTGTCTAATTAAAGGAAATTGACTGACGCGATCAATGGCGTCGGGAACGTGGGCACGGCCTACTCGGATTGTCCCGATGTCGCCGTGAAAGTTTATAATTTATAACAAGCGCGAAATTCACAGCGAATTTCTTCGAGCTTCGAGGAAAAGGGCCTGAAAAACGCTTGTAAACAAAATTGTTAATAGAAATTTGATATAACATTGGTATTATTATTAGAATATTAATGTTCGTCGAGTTTCGTGTTAATTTACAGTGTAGTTTGGTTCCTTTGATTGAATTACCGTTTTCTATGGGCTATCTTGATTAAGTTCTTTGATCTGATTTTAAATTTCTGCATTTTTATTGATCGCGAGTGATCGTGCATGGTGGCGCTTTTCACAAAGGCATTCGCGAAAATAGGAATTATGTAGAAACCTTTTCCCTCGATGAATATTTTCGTCGGAAAGGAGAATATTAAATTCTTGTTACAGTTTATGAAAATTTTCATTCCTCTCGCTGTTTCGTTTAGTTTTGCACGATATGCATACAAATTCACGGTTTAATGATTAAATGGAAAAAAATTAACTTGATTCGTGTCAGTTTCTTTCATTGTTGCAATTTTCATGCTGCCCCAGTCTAAATATTTCTCTCCGGCTACGGTTATGATGGAGGTTGCGTGCACGTTTTTAATTATGTTTTATATTTCGTTTCATGCATGTAAATAAATTAACATTTGGTATATTATTGTAATGAAGAATACTAATTAAATTTTGACAAAACTATCTCCAATGTCGCAAAATTAATCTTCAACCGGTGGAGCAAAACTTTTGAATGGAATGATCACTTTTCGGAATAAAATTTAGAAATAGTAATATCAAGTTTAAGTGTATTTTATATTACGTTGCATCTAGCGTGTATACCTTTAATATAAATAAATAAAAATGTACAACTTGTCTGTTGCATTTTGCTGGTTTCTCTTCGTTCGAGAAAAGGAACATAAAAAGGTCACTGTTCAAAGAAAATTGTATTCTGCATTCAGTTATTTATTTTATGCCCATATTTAATATTAACGTAGGAAATTCCCCATTTTTGTTTGGTTACATTCTCTCGAATTCAGCCTCTGAAGAATACCTCAAAGCTGTCTGAAGAAAAATTTAATTTCATACTCCATTACGTCCCGCACATTCATGAGCGAGGTAAATTCACAAAAATCCTCTGTCAACATGTAGCATTCTCTTACACACACCTAGCCATTATAAAAAAATATCAAAATATAAAAACGAGATACAGTTGGAAGAACAGAACAATATAAACTGCACAAAAAATATTCTGTGGGTTGAAGGTTAAACAAACAATCAGCCAGGTCAAACCACAAAAAAATGATCACGAAAAGGATCAAATTTCCATAGCCCGTTCTCCGTGGCTGCAGCTGAAATTGCTACCAATTCTGATAAAAAAAAACAAAATAAAAAAGTTAACAAAATACTCTTGGAAGAGCTAGGATGGTACACGAGTACTCGATAGAAGGTTAACCAAACAACGAACCAGATCCAATTACAAAAAATCGATGGCGAAAGCGATCAAACTGCCCTTGTCCCTTCCCTCTAGCTAAAATCTAAATTGCTATCACTTCTAAATAAAAACTAAAGAAAATTGGAAAAAATAATTACTTTCAGTACGTAAATTTTTAGTAGAAGATTAATTAAACAACAAATTTACTTAGAAAATACTAATCACAAAAAGAATGAAACATCCACAGTCCACAAACCAAAATTGCTATCAACTTCGTCTAAAATAAATCCAAAAAGAAATTAAAAGGCCTCCTCCTTTGGAAATCCCCACCTTTGGAGGGGACTGGCCAAGAGGCCCAGTTAAAATTTAACTAAATATCGAACCAGGTCTAATTACAAAAAGCCGACCGCGAAAAGAATGAAACCTTACTGGTCTACCCTACAGCTATACCCTAAACTGCTATCAACTCTGTCTCATAAAAAAAGCTAGAAAGAATTTTAAAAAGTATTTCTAGAGGAGGTATTACAATCCACAAGTGCTCAATTGGGGCTTAACCGAACAGCGAACTGGGTCTAATTACAAAAAAACCGATCGCGGAAAAAGTCAAACTTCCGTGGTCCATCCTTCACGACTACCTATATACCCTAAATTGCTACCAACTCTAACTCC